TGGTGGTGGTGGTGGTGGTGGTGGTAGTAGTAGTAGTAGTAGTAGTAGTCGTAGTAGTAGTAGTCGTAGTAGTAGTAGTAGTAGTAGTAGTAGTAGCAGCAGCAGTAGTAGTAGTAGTAGTAGTAGTAGTAGTACTAGTACTAGTAGTAGGAGGAGGAGGAGGACGAGGAGGAGGAGGAGGTGGAGGGGGAGGAGGAGGAGGTGGAGGAAGCGGAGGCGGATGTGGAGGAGGTGGGCGCTACGCTTTGTCGAGGAGGGCGAGGAGGGCGTGGAGGAGGATGAGGAGGAGGAACGGAAAAGTGTCCAGGGGCAGGAGTGCGCATGGTCAAACTTCCCCAGCATGTCTTCCAGCAGTCCATGGATATCGGCAATCGAACCGTTCGCGTGCAGAGGTGTTTGGCAGGAAGTGCCTTGCAAGCGGCCATCCAAATGCATCCCTGTATTCGACCACACATCAAGCTGATCGCGTGGCCCGCAGTCGAGCTTCAGGGTTCAGCGTCACTCGAATGGTGAGCAAGCCCTGAAGGTGACCACGTACAGCGTGATCGAGAAGGGGGGTATACATGTTGTACTGATTCTCGCATTGCCCATGTAGGCCGCATCAGATCCATGAGTCACGAGGTGTCTCTTACTTGTGAACCCTTGTGGTGTCGCAAATGTGGGGCCTACAGCAGTGTGAAGATGGCCTCTGCCACCCTTCCATAGCCTGGGGAAAGAAGGTGCTGTCTAAACTGTAGACATATACACATGTGTATATATATATATATATGTATCGATGTATCGAAGACGCCTACGGCGAATCACCGCCGCCCCGTGCCTTTTGGAATCGCCCATGTGGCTCAACGTTGTGGCCAGAGCTTTGCCAAGCTGCCCGACCATGTGTTCCCCAAACCGTTGTGGAAACCCTTCGGGGAACATGTGGGGGAGAAAGAGGAACCGGCGGAGAGGGAGGACAACTAGAGAGGATGAGGAGGAGGATGAGGAGGATGAGGAGGAGGAGGAGGAGGAGGACGAGAAACAAGGAGGCGGAGGAGGCTGAGGAGGAGGAAGGTGACCTGCGTTTTCTGGGAGCTTCTCATGGGCCTCTCGGCCCCGTGCCTTTTGGAATCGGCCATGTGGGCGAACGATGTGGCCAGAGTTTTGCCAAGCTATCCGACCACGTGTTCCCCCAGCCGTTGTGGAAGCCTTAACACGCGGGGGAGAAAGACGAAGCGGAGGAGAGGGAGGACACATATAGAAGAGGATGAGGAGGAGGAGGATGCGAAAGAGGAGTCATACTAATGAAACGACGGAAGAAGACGAAGAAGAGGCGGAGAGGACTTACACGGAGGAGGAGGAGGAGGAGGAGGAGGAGGAGGAGGAGGATGACGATGATGATGATGATGATGATGATGAGGAGGAGTAGGAGGAGGATGGGGACTCTTGGGGCATTCTGAGAGCTTCTTTTTGGCCTCTCGGGGCCCTCTTGAGAGCCTCCTTGTGCCTCTTGGGGGCTTCTTGGGGGCCTCTTTGGCCGTCTTAGGGCGTTCCTGGCCCGCCTGACGCCGTCGGAAGCCTTCTTTGGGCCTCTCTGGACAGACTTAGAGCCCTCTTGGGGCGCTTCAGGGTCGTCTTGGAAGCCACCATTGGCGTCTTGGAGGCCTTTTGGGCCGTCTTGGAGGCTTCTTGGGCCGTCATGGGGTCATTGTGGAGGCCTCTGGGGCCATCTTGGGGCGATCTTGGGGCCCTCTTGGGCTGTGTTGGGCCATCGGAAGGCCGAAAATAAGCAAAGGGCAAACACCTTTAAAACAATTTCTTTTGGTAAAAACAGCGATCTTGTTCGGGCCCTTCTAGAAGAAATCTTGCAGGCCCCTTGAGCCGTCTTGAGGCCATCTTGGGCCGTCTTGGGTGCATCTAGGGGCTTTCTTGGGCTCTCTCGGTGCCATCTTTGCCACATTGGAGGCCATCTTTAGCCATCTCGGCCGTCTGGAAAGCATCCTGGAATCCATGTTGGGCCATCTTGGGCAAGAAAGACATTCGCATGTACATCTGTTGGGTGGCAGGCGCGCTTGGCCGAAGCCCCAGGGGGAGCTCATGTAGAAAATGGACCAAACCAAGCCGAGCGTAGGATCTAGCACGCCGGGACCACAGGGGTCGTCGGATTTAATTGCATTCGGTCCATCCCGCCACCGTGCCTGGGTTGTGGGTATGGAGCCTGTTGGATGTTCGTTGGGATCTCGTGGGAGGCCTCTCGGGAGCGTCTTGAAGGCAGTTTTGAAGCCTCTTGAGGGCCGTGTTGGGCCTCTTCGCGGCCTCTTGGGGGCCACTTGGGGGCCGCTTGGGGGCCACCTGGGGCCTCTTGGGCGCCTCCTGGGGCCTCCTGACCTCTGGGGGCGGAAGGCTCGGTTTCTCGTTTCCTGTTCCCTCGTGGGTCCCTTTTGGGGCCGTCTTGGGGCCCTTTTGGATGCGTCTTGAGGCGTCTTGGGGTGGCCTTAGAGCGTCGGAAAGCTCCCTGGGGGGCCCTCTTGGGAGGCCTCTTGAAGGCCTCTTGTGGACTCCTGGAGGCCTCTTGGGCCATCTCGAGGCCATCTTGGGCGTCTTGGAGCGATCGTTCGGCGATTCGGGGCATTCTTGGACTCATGGGAGGGTTCGTGAGGTCGCTTTGAGGGGGCACAGCGTTCACAGGAGGCGCTGGGAACACCGCAGAACTCAAGGGAGGCAGCCCGGGAAACCCCGGGAAGGCCTGGGACACGTTTTACAATTTTCGCTGCAGAGGCAGCACAGCGTCTACCCCTCAGTGCTGCATGAGCCTTGGGACACTCCCTTTTTGTGCCAGAGGCACGGTGGCGGAGAGTTGGACGCTCGGGAGTGCGTGTCCAAATCCAATTCATATTGAATGGCATGTGTGTGCAAGAAGTATTTCTACCCTCGCCTTGTTTGTGACGCTTCACCTGGCATCGCCCTGGCACGGTTTTGCCTGCGATTGCCCGCTCTCGGCTCCCAATCTTGCATTGCCCGCGTGAGGTCCTGACAAGAAGAGCCGAGACCATGCACGACCGCATGGACGCGCTCTTCAAGCAGCTGAGGGACGGTTCTCCCTTCCCGCTTCTCTATACAGGGGAAGGCGCAGTACAGAGGAGCGCGACGAGGTGAAGGAAGAAGACCGCATGCATGCCAGTGACGAGGAGCTGAAGGACCCCTTCCCGCTGGGCCGTCTCCCCCCAGTTGCCCTCGCAGGCCTCACGAGAGCTCTTCGAGTGGCTCTCGGAACGCTGCGCTGCTCTGATCACAGAGGCGTGGTGCCAGTAAGGGCGATGCCGGCCGCGAGGGGGGTCAGTGCACAGTTTCGAATGCGATTTCTGGGAGCTGAAATTCAGCATCGGCGCTGGTACATCCGTGGTCGAACACCAGACCACTCCGTTGTACATACTCCCGCCGAACCCGGCTCAATCTTGGGCTAGCTTTTGCCTAATTCGGTTTTGTGGCCCCCTACTTAGCCCTTACATGTTCTTACGAAGACCTCCCAGGAGTTGCCTCCCAGCACAGAAGGACGAGGACGGAGGACGGGAGGAGGACAAGTGTAAACTCGTATCAGCGACGTTGCAAAACAAATCCTCGCTCCAACCCGCTTTGTGATTGCCTGCAATGCTGTATTCGTAGAGAAGTGTCTTAGAATCTTCAGTCGTGTCATTTCATGGGCATCAGCGTCGCGAACTGTTGCCTCTTGAAACTCTTATACCGTGCCCGAATCCCATTCCTGATCCTTCAAGATCGAACATCAACGTGACTGGTGCGTTCTGAGAAACCTAATGCTTGCCAGATCACTATTCCTGGGACTTACACCGTGCGAGCTTTCAACATTAATGTGCGCGGCGCCGAGGCGACAACTGCATTCTTTAAAGAGCCGCCCTTACTTTTTCGAAGCTGTTGCAATATTTGATGACGAACGTGCGGTGAGCCAAGGCGAAAGCAACATTTTGAACACCGCCCACCTTCTATCCATGAACTGCTGAAACTTCTGAGACGAACGTGCCCTGCGCTAAGACGAGAACCAGGTTTTGAAAGCGATCCGCCCTTCATCTTTTCAAGCTGCTTCATTTTTTGAACGACTGTTCCCGGCGCTCAAGCGAGAGTCATAGTTTGAAAACGGCCTGCCATCAATCCGTGAAGAAGCTCTTGAGAAGTTCCAATCTCCATCATCATACAGTCAACGCGCCTAGTAAGGACGCGCGCCTTCGTCTAGGATACCCTTGCGTCCTTGCCTCTGTGGCCCGTGCTTTGCCGTTTTCACTGGTTCAGCCTCCAAGGGTCTTGCGTCCTTACCACGCGTCCTTACTATACGTTTTGACTAAATGGTGAGGAAGTATCATGCGAAACGCCTGGCCCGCCCGATGGACACGTGTGCGGGTGCGGCAGGGAAGAGTTCTTCAAGTTCTAGCGAAACGGGGCGGAGGAGGTGGAGGACGGGGAGAAGGAGGAGGGAGGAGGATGAGGAACAGTATCCATCAGGGAGGAGGGTGGACGGGGTGGCGCAGACGCCAGAGCTGCTGGTCTGGCGGCCGCGTTCGCCGCCGCGGTGGCGCAAGGGTGGGCGCTCCGGCGGCCAGAGGTGTGCTCTTCTCCAGGTCGGGGACCCCCCAGTGGTGCGGTGAACACACCGCGTGGTGATTCAGTGTGCGTTCGGGGTCGCCGCGCGGTTTTCGGGACTCGGGCCGTTCTCCGAGAATGTCTTGAGAGACTGGGTCTGGCCTCCAGGATTCCCAGACCGTGCAGTGGCGGACCGCGCGGTGAGGTCGTTGGGGGTTCCAAGGTCACCACGCGGTCCGTCACCACACGGTTGCGGGGGCACCGAGCCAGGGGTTTCGGAGCCTGACGTCACGAGGGAGGCCAGTCGTCCTTTTGTTCGGGTTCAATTCCTGTGGGGTTGCACTCGGCATCGGTGCCAGTATTTCCGTGGTCGCAAGCCGGCCTAATCCAGCATGATCCCATCCCGCTCAGTCCCGCTTGCTTCGGCCGAAGCCCCAGGTCAGCCCTGCCTATTCTTCTGTCCCAGTGAATTTCATTGGTCCTACTACATTTGAGTAGATCTTACGATGATCTCTCTGGAGTTGCTAGCTTTGTCAAAAGGGGGCCAGTCGTCGTTCTCGGTCCCAAAAGCTTTCCCGTCGCCGAGGCTGAATCCGCCTCGAACGAGCGGGTCAGGATGGACCCTGGGACAGGTCTGGGGACCGAGTTTGAGCGGGCTTGGTCGGGGCGGATGAGCCGCCGTTATCTTAATTAGCCTACCTCACAGCACTGGAGCCTGCGCTTGCTCTCCGTGCTGGGCCGTCGGCTCCTGGCAGCTAGCGCTGGCTAGCAGGGGAGAAACGGATAGGCGAGGGCAGGGGAAGCGCAGGCGGGAGGCCAGGGGCCGGCGGGAGCAGCAGCTGGGAGGTAGCAAAGGCGGAGAGGTCGCGGGAGACGTGGGCAACGCCGACGGGGGCCTTGCCAGATCCCGGGGGGTCGCTGATCCCGAGCTCCCGAGGTCTCGAGCTGGCAGCGGACACCGCCTCAGAGGGGACACCGCTGCGGGCTCCAGGGGCGGGTGGGAACGGAGGGGGGGGAGGGCATGGGGGCGGTCTGGCCACTGGCCCCCGGGGAAGCGCCGATGCCCGCGCCTGCCCCCGCGGAGCCCCGAGGGGGATGGGGGGGGGAGGGCGTGCGCGAGGGTGCGGGGGGCGGCCCCGCGTGGCGCCCTGCGCGCGAGGCGCGGCGTCGGGAGGCTCGGGGGGTCGTGGTCGTCAGAGGCCGGGCGGCGAGGGCCCCCCCCGGTGGGAGCTCGCGGAGTGTGCAGCAGGGGACCCTGACCTGCCAGGAGGGCTTAAAACATAGCACGCGACTTAAAAACCTATCCCAAAGCTATTCTACGTCTTGGTTGTAGGCCGTCTCGCTCCGTTTTTCAGGTTTTTAGGCCTTCAGTGCTAAACCATAGCTCTCTGGAAGGTCAGGGGAGCAGGAGGGTGGTGGCGAGGCGCAGGGGGGGGAATCCTTCCGACGAGGAAGGCAGGAGGCACGGGCCACACGCGAACCCTACCCCGACCCCCGACGATTTCTGAGGGGTAGGGTTCGCATGTGGCCCCCTACTGGTGGCGAGGCGCAGGGGGAGGATCCCTCCGAAGAGGAAGGCAGGACGCACGAGCAGGGGGCCACACGCGAGCCCCACCCCTGTACCCCCGACGATCTCTGAGGGGGGAGGCTGGGGTTCACTTCGCTCGGGAGCTCCCGAGCGAAGTGAACCCCAGCCTCGCCCTCAGAAATCGTGGGGGCTAGGGGTGGGGCTCGCGTGTGGCCCCCTGATGGTGGCGAGGCGCAGGGGGGGAATCCTTCCGAAGAGGAAGGCAGGATGCACGAGGACGTGTGGGGTCCGCGCGGATCCTCTCGTGTGGGCGCCGCGCCCCATCCCCCTTCGATGGCGCGCCGAGAGCATCGCTTTTATGACGAGCGTCGTGCCCCCGATGGGAACGCTGTTCTGGAATGTTGGTTGTCTTCGAAATGCCTGCCAGCGGGCGCGTTGTGTTTTCCAGGGGGGAGGGGGCGGGGAATGTTTCAGGAGAGGAACAAACACACAGACACAATTAATCCTCGATTCCCTATAAAATATGGGAAACTATGGGAAGTGGGGGGGAAGACAGAAACTTAGAAACCATGGGAAAATAAGGGGAATAGTTTTATTTGTGTGTATTGATTTGTGTGTCCTGGGGCCCCTTCAATGTTGTGCGTGGCTCCCCGTAGTGGCGTGCTTCTTGCCCCCCCCCCCCCTCCCGCATCTCTCCCTCGGCAGCAGCCGCCCCCACCCCTGCCAGAGGACGCCATGGCTGCCCAGCAGGTGCGCAGCCTGAGCGACAGCTAGGCTCCGATCGGTCCCTGGGGGGGGAGCGGGGAGTGTTCGATGCTCGTTTCGGGGACCTTCCTGGAGCCCACCTAACGGATCTGTTCGACCCCAGTTCGACTCAAGTTCGACTCAAAGTCGACTCGAGTTCGACTCAGGTTCGACTCAGGTTCGACTCAGGTTCGACTCAGGGTCGACTCAGGGTCGACTCAAATCGACTGACGTTCGACGCAGCTTCGACGCACGAGTGCAGCGAGTGGCTCCAGGAAGGTCCCCAGAACGAGCATCCAAGGGAGTGGATTCCCCCGCATGGGGTTAGGCGCAGGGGGGGTCTGAAAAGGACGCGGCGTTTCTCCGAAGGCTGGGTCCCTTCAGAATGTCCCCGAGGCTTTTGATAGATTCGTCAGGCTTGTCAGAGACTGCCAGACAGAGTTGATAACGCTTCTGCATTACACGAGCCCCCCCCGCGCGGGCCGCTCCTGGAGGGTGCACAGGTCTTTTGGGAGCAGCCCGTGGAATCGAGCATCCATGATCGCGCCTCGGTGTGCAGGCCGCGATGGCATGGATGTCCATGTCCGCCGATCTTGATCTGTTTCCCGACTGGGGGCGGGAAAGACGATACGAGCAGGACGCCGACCCCTGGGCGACGAGGTCCACGATGCCTTCGCGGGGCTGGAGATCTCAGAGGTGTCTCGAGCAGTGCGGGAGCGCCCCTCCTCCTGCCCCGCCCCTGCTTCCTCCCCCCCCTCCTCGCCAAATGCCGTGCCACTATCAGTTGAAAGTGCTGTTCCAGACGTCAGAGTTGTGGGTGCTACAGTCAGTCTCAATTAATGCAGTCAGGAAGGAGACGTCCGTGTTCTGAAGTCATCCCATCGGCAAGAACACAGCCAGGATTGCCGCTCGTCGGTGGCCAAAGGTTTCAGTAAAGCCAAGAATGCTCTGCAAAGGGAAATCTTGTGCCTGAGGGTCCCATGACCTGGTCATCACCCCACTCACTCACTGAGTTCCTTCTCCCTGTCGACGCACGAGCGGGACTCCCTCAGCAGGGCACGTGCGACCCGCCGCTCGGTCCCGCCCGTCGCCTCGTCTCCCTCCCCTCCTGCCCGCCCAGGAGGGTGGTCGGCGGGAGGGAGGGAGGAAGAGATGAAGGGCGGGGGGACGGAAGTGTGAGGAGCGAAGAGGGGAGGGATGAGTGAGCGAGGGAGAGAGGCGGAGGAGGAGGGGAAGCAGAGAGGAGGGAGGAGGAGCAAGAGGAGACCGGGACTGACAGTAGAGGAAGGAGGGAGGAAGGAGGGAGGAAGCGACGATGATGAGGCTTGTGGAGGAGGAGTCGGAGGAGCAGGAGGAGGAGGAGGAACAGGAGCAGGAGCAGGAGCAGGACGAGGAGGAGGAGCAGGAGGAGGAAGGCGGGGAGGGAGCAACACGAGCAGGAGTAGGCACTCCACCTGGCACCGCGCCTCTCAGGGCTGGCGGCCGACTTCTTGCGGCCGCCGGGCCGCCCCTGCTGAGGGCGGCCCTTCGGCGTTCCGCCCGCGGGCGCGCGCGAGGAGAAACGGCGGACGGGGTGGGTCGAGGAGAGCCCACAGGCGGAAGGGGGCGGAGGGTGGTCGGGGAGGATCGAGGAGGAGGAGGAGGAGTAGGAGTAGGAGTAGGAGTAGGAGGAGTAGGAGGAGTAGGAGGAGTAGGAGGAGTAGGAGGAGTAGGAGGAGTAGGAGGAGTAGGAGGAGTAGGAGGAGGAAAGTAGGAGGAGCAGGAGGAGCAGGAGGAGCAGGAGGAGGACACAGGAGGACACAGGAGGACACAGGAGGACATAGGAGGAGGAGGAGGAGGAGGAGGAAGAGGAGGAGGAGGAGAAGGGGGACATAAGGAGGAGGAGGAGGAGGAGGAGGAGGAAGAGGAGGAAGAGGAGGAGGAGGAGGAGGAGGATGAAGAGGTGGAGCAGGTGCAGGAGGAGGGTGAGATCGGAGGAGGATGGATGAGGAGGAGGAGGAGGCGCCGGCGGCGGAGGAGGTGTAGGATCGCGGATGTGGGTGAGAAGAGCAGAGGAGGAAGATCGATGGTGATGGTGATGATGAGGATGATGATACTACTATCGTTGATGCTGATGGTGCTGCTGATGCTGATGATGCTGATGATGATGCTGCTGCTGATGATGATGGGTGGTGATGTTGATCAGCATGCTGATGCTGTTGTCGACGATGATCCTGCAGATGATGCTGCTGCTGATGATGATGGTGTTGGTGATGATGATGCTGATCATGGTGATGTTGATGGGGATGCTGATGATGCTTTTGCTGTTGCTGCTGATGATGACGGTGGTCGTGGTGATGACGATGACGAGGATGATGACGACGCTGATGATGGCGATGCAGATTTCGCTGATGATGATGAATCGGATGTAACAGGATGATGGTGTCGATGATGATGATGATGCTGATGATGACGAGGAGGATGCTGATGCTGATGATGCTGATGATGCTGATGATGCTGATGATGCTGATGATTCTCGTGATCCTGATACTCATGATGCTGTTGGTGATGGTGATGCTGATGCTGATGATGCCGAGTAACATGACGGTCAGTGTTGGGGTTGAGTGTTGATTATGATGATGGTGATGCTGATGATGGCGATGATGGTGATGGTGGTGTTGTTGATGATGACGGTGGTGGTGCTGATGCTGCTGATGAGGATCGTCATCAGTATGATGATGCTGATGATGTTGGGAGGGGGATACGCTGACGATTGTGGGCATGGTGGTGGTTGCGGTGGTGTTGATGGTGCTGAATGCCTCGATGGTGATGCAAGATCCGATTCTGATAAGGATGATGACGCTGATGTTAATGGTGCTGCTAATGCTGCTTATGATGGTGATGCTCATGATGATACTGCTGCTGCTGATGATGAAGCTGAACGTGTTGATGTTGATGACGCTGTTGATGGTGACGGTGATGATGATGATGCTACGCTGATCTTGGTGACGCTGACGCTGATGAGGCCGATGCTGGTGCTGATGATGATGAGGTTGGTGCTGCTGCTGTTGATGTTGGTGATGCTGATGATGCTTATGCTGGTGATGGCTCTGGCGCTTACGATGCTGCTTTTTTATGGTGATTATTCTAATGATGATGATGCTGAGGATGCTGCTGCTGCTGATGAGGATCAAGCCGTCGAGCATGATGCTGATGACGCTGAATATGATGATGCTGGCGATCATGGCGATGATGGTGATGCTGCTGCTTATGCCGATGCTGATGCGGATGCGGCTGCTGCTGATGATGGATGGATGCTGATGCTCATGCCGATGCTGATGCTGCTGCTGCTGCTGATGATGATGATGATGTTGATGCTGATGATGATGATGAGGCTGATGCTGATAATGTTTGTGGAGGTGGTGATGATGGTGATGGTGATGGTGACGGTGCTGTTTATGGTGATGGTGAGGAGGTGATGGTGATGGTGTTGGCGATGTTTATGATTTATGGTGATGGTGATGGTGATGGTGAGGAGGATGAAGATCGAGGAGGATGAGGAGGATGATACTGGGACTATGTCGGACGATGCGGAGATGGCGGAGGAGGTGGACGAGGACGGATGATGAGAGAGGATGGCAGAGGAGGACGGACCGAGAGGATTGATGCGCAGGACCGTGGCTCAAGGGCCGGGGAGTATCGGATCGAGTATGGTCGGGGATGAGGATGAGGATGATGAAAGAGAGGAGAATGAGGAGGAGGAAGAGGAAGCGAGAGGGGTCAAGTTATGGGGTGTCGGCGAGGAGGGTCGAGATTCGAGGGGAATCGAGGTTCGAGGGTCGATGATGATCTTGCAGCTTGGGCTCTAGGATCCAGGTCGTCGGGCGCTCCTCGTCCTTGCTGGGGCCCCTGGGGGCATCCACGGGGTCCATGCGGACCTCCGCCGAGGCCTCGACACCTCGGGGAACTCGAGAGGGGGGGCGAGGCACGGGGGGGGGGGGAAGAGGCGGACGAGAGGCGTCGAGGAGGGGCGCGCACGGGGTCTGGCGCTGGGCAGGTGGGGAAGGTTTGGACAATGTGCAGGAGGAGGGATAGATCGTGGGGGCTGGATGAAGAGAGGATTGGTCTAGTATCTAATCAAGGGTATAAAAACCGCACCTACGACCTGGTTTACAAGGCGCTGTGCGCTGAAACTCCTGTGGGCTGACAGGGTAAGCCCTGCGTGATGTGCCGCGTCCTGGCGGCTCTAGGCTCTGGGGGCTCACAGGAGGTTTACAGACCACGCAGTTGTAACCCAGGGTAGGGTCGTCTTTTTTCCATCCCTCACTTTAAGAGAGCAGCCGAGGCTCGAGTAAGGATGAGGAGGCTCGGGGGGGGGGGGGGGGACGAACGCCATGACGTGGGAGGCGGGAGGGTGCGGGTGGATGGAGGGGGAAGGCGGATGTAGAGCTGAAGGAGGGATGGGGGAGAATGAGAAGGGGGAGGGGGAGGGGAAGGGGAGGAGCAGGAGGAAGAAGGGGGAGGGAGGAGGAGGAGAGAGGGAGGAGAGGATGGAGAGGGAGGAGGAGGGAGAGGAGGAAGAGGAGGAGGAGGAGGAGCGGAGGAGGAGGAACAGGAGCAGGAGCAGGAGCAGGAGGAGGAGGAGGATGAGGAAGAGGAGGAGGAGGAGGAGGAGGAGGGGGAGGAGGAGGAGGAGGAGGAGGAGGAGGAGGAGGAGGAGGAGGAGGAGGAGGAGGAGGAAGACGAAGAAGAAGAAACATAAGAATACAACGAACACTAATACTAATAATAATAATACTAATACTAATACTAGTAATACTAACACTACTAATTATAATAAGAATACTAATAATACGAACACGAAGAATAACAATACTAATGCGACGAACAATAAGAAGAGGAATACTACGACGAATAAGACCACTACTACGAATAATAATAATACGAATAATAAGAAGACTCATAATACTACTACGAATACTAATAAGAATACGAACGCTACTACTATTAATAATAATAAGCATGATAGTAAGACGACGACTATTACTAAT